CAGCTCTACTATACACCTGGGAATTCTGATCATTCACATAAACTTATAGGACCATTGTCTGCCAACCCTATGTATGTTTTTGGATACACTCCCCACTTCATAGACATACCTAATAGTTCAGCCTGTCTACCCATCTGTCCACCTGTATACTCATGTTTGCCTTCACTGACAACACAGTAATGTATGTGCAAAAGGGTTCATCTTTGTTGTCTGTACCTCCCATGTACCTCTCTATGTCTTTTTGTTTCTCAATGGCACCATATTGAATACTCACATTTGGTACATTGCCTTTCTCTTCACCCAAATCATTACTTATATCTATCTATCTAATAGTGTTCTCTCCCCTCCCCTCCCACCCCTGGTAACCAACAAAGAAAATTTCCTTCCATAGATAAACCTTTCCTTGACTTTTAAAATAGTGGACTAACACAATATTTGTCCTTTTGTGATTGACTTATTTCACTCAGCATAAGGTCCTCCAAGTTTATCCACGTTATGCGGTGTTTTGCAGATTCTACATTATTCTTCAGTGTTGCATAGTATTCCATTATGTGTATATACCATAGTTTTGTTATCCATTCCTCAGATGATGGACACCTAGGTTGTTTCCATCTTTTGGCTATTGTAAATAGTGCTGCGATGAACATGGGTGTACATTCATCTGTTCTTGTCATGGCCCTCACTTCTTTAGGTTATATACCTAGTAATGGAATGGCTAGGTCAAATGGTATTTCTATTTCCAACTTTTGAAGGAATCGCCATACTGCTTTCCACAATGGTTGTACCATTTTACAGTCCCACCAGCAGTGTATGAGAGTTCCAATCTCTCCACATCCTCGCCAGCATTTGTTATTTTCTGTCTTGTTGAACTTTGCTACTAGTGCTGGAGCAAGATGGTATCTCGTTGTTTTGATTTGCATCTCTCTAATAGCTAATGATGGTAAGCATTTCTTCATATGTTTGTTGTCCGCTTGAATATCCTCCTTGGTGAAGTGTCTTTTTGTTATTGAGCTGTTGGAGTTTTCTATAAATTCTAGAGATAAGTCCCTTGTCAGATATGTCATTCTAGATTGTGTACTTCTAAGAATTTATCCATTTTCATCAAGTTTATACAGTTTGCTGCTGTACCATTGTTCATAATATTGTCGTAATTGTCTTTATTTCTATTAGCTCAGTTGTCATGTTACCTCTTTCATTTCTTATTTTGGTCCTTTGTATTTTTTCTCTGTCAGATTTGTTACAGATTTCAATTTTATTGATCTTTTCAAAGAAGTAACTTCTGATTTATTGATTCTCGCTATTCTTTTTCTGTTTTTGATTTTATTTATTTCTACTCTGGTCTTTGTTATCTCCTTTCTTCTGGTCAGCAGGCTTAGTTTGCTCTTCTCTTTTGAGTTTCTGGAGTTGTTGAGTTAGGCTGCTCCACAGGGTTTTCAGTGGCTGATTTTTCAGAAGTAGATCCACAGGCCTTTGCTGTGAGCCTGCTCTGGGTAGACTCAAACCTCCAACCTTCCAGTTAGCAGCTGAGCACTTTAACCATTTCTACCACCCAGAGATTTCTAGCCCACTTTAGCCCCTGGACGCTTGTACTAAGTCTTGAAGAAGGGAGGAGAGTTATTGTTATAAGGAAACAGGCAAGGCTGATGTACCTTGCCCAATGCCCACAGCCAGTCAGTGAAGAGACAGGTCCTCTGCCTTCCTTTCTCTGTATCGTATGCTTCTCGACAAAATGAGGACATTCAACATCTCTAAATAAGTCAAATTAGAAAAAGTTATGTGTTGATTCCGAGCCTAATATCATGCCTAGTATCATGCAAAAATAAGCTATAAAACTGTTTGTAAGGAGGAGGAGGAAATGGCAAGTGAATGCTAATGGGTATGGGTTTTTTAATAGAATGATAAAAATATTCTGGAATTACAGACGAGTGATATATGCACACTTTGAGCATATTAAAAACTATCAAATTGTAGTATTTTTTAAAAATGAAAAATAAGTGAAATGTGTTGTTTTTGTGTGCTGTCAAGTCAATTCAGACTCATAATGAATGACCCTATTTGACAGAGTAGAGCTGCCCCATAGGATTCCCTAGGGTATAATCTTTATGTAGCATCTCACTAAGTCTTTTCTCCCATAGACCTGCTTGTGGATTCAATCCACCAACCTTTCGGTTAGCTCAGAGCTTAACTATTGTGCCACCAGGACTCCTTCATAAAGATTATAGCCTAGAAAACCCTATGGGGTGGTTCTGCTTGTCACATGGGGTCACGATGAGTTGAAACCCGTGGCCCCTAACAACAACAACAACGTTTGTGAAAGTATGTTATAAAACTCATTCAGAACACTTTGGTTAGACAGGGACTCCAGGAGGCACAGAGAAGAGCCACTGTGTACCTCTGTGAGTTATGCACAGGATGGGGAACAGCCCGAGACCACCTCCTCTGCCATTCTCATAAAGGCACCTTAGCTGCGTAGCTGTTTCTATGATATTCTGCACATTTTAAAGAGAGTGCAAGGCCTTAAGAGTAAAGAGTTCCTTTGTTGAAACCGTGTTTTCAAATTTAAATGAGTGTTGGGCAAAGATGAGCCTACCCTTTGATTCTTGATTCTCATAGTGGAAAGTAAAGCTGGAAAAGAACATATGAGAAGCTTGTGAGATACGTGGGAAGGATCTGGAAATTAAAAAAACCTTCTAGTCTGGAGTTTGTGCCTTCGACCAACAGAGCTTATGCTAGTGTTCTTCTAAGACAAGCAAAAAAAAAAAACCAGACCAGACTCACTGTCATCATGTTGATTCTGATTCATAGAGACCCCTATCGGGTTTCCAGGGGCAGCAAATCTTTACAGAATAGATTGCCCACTTTTCCTTTCATGGAGCAGCTGATGGGTTTGAACTGCCAACCTTCTGGTTACCAGTCAAATGCCTTAGGCACTGTACCACCAGAGCTCCTTAAGACAAAGAAGGTGGCTTGCTTCCTTCCTCCTTCCTTTCCTTCCTTTCTTTTTTTTCTCTTTCTCCTCCTTCCCTTTTTTTCTGTTGCACTTATCATATCCAGTGTTTTAATCTCAAATGGACCGTCGTGGTAGTTTAATGGAATTGGTGTCTGCGTTTTTATTGTGATTTGGGTGAAAGTTACAGAGCAGATTCATTTTCCATACAGTGTTGTCTGCATTTTTTTAATGTCCAGTGTGTTCTGGTGGGTAGTTAAGACCACCAAGTCAACCGTTTGCCAACTGTGAGACCTTATACTAGTCACTTACACTTCCAGTTTCTGTTTATTGGTTTCATAGAGCTGTGAAGTTCAGAAGGGAATGTTGACCATTATCCCCCAGCAGCCTCATTGAGAATGACAGACAGAACTATGAAATATAAGTATTGTGAAGGTTAATCACACTCTCATTCTGAGTGCGTTATTCTTTCTACATGATCTCCTCTATCTAAACACTAAATTAAAGACATTTATGGGATACGTTGTGTACTTGGATATGTGGGAAGTGTTGAGGTATTAGAATATGTAAGGCGATTATGACTAAGTACCAACTTTGTCTTGTTTTATTTTCTTCATTGCTTTCTCCACCTGATTAACTAGAGTGGTGTTTTAACAATTAAACTGGGTGGAGATCTCGGGACCTACGTGATCAACAAGCAGACCCCAAACAAGCAAATCTGGCTATCATCTCCTTCCAGGTATGTTCAAAAGCCAAAATCTGGCGTCATTAGATTTGTTTGAAACATGGCAGGTGGGCGTTTAGAAAGTGTCACCCTCGTGTGTTGGTAACTGGGGAAGTGAACCTCTCCTGGTGTTTTACAGACACCTCATTCTTGGTAGGTAAGTTTACTCTGGTTATATAGCTTCTCCCTGCTCATAATTTAGCCACTATCAATGACATTGGATTGTTAACAGGGTCTGAGGTGAAAAATTTAAAACTTTTCAGAACCTGGCCTAGACAGTTTTTCTCCATAAATCATTGCCCTGCCATTCATAAAACTTTTTGCTGCGATGTAGCTTTGGCATCTAAGCAAGTTGTACTTTGTCTTCAGAGCAAGTTAATGTTTGACCTCAGATTTGTTTGGAGCATCTCAGCTAAAGATTAGTTGAATTCCCTTTGCAGAATCGGGCTGAGTGGAGGTGGGCTAGCATTTGAAGCTGCTATTTTTAGGGCGTTTAATCCTTCCTTGGACTTTCTGTTGATGTGCTTTCAATCCAGACAAATAAAAGATTGTGTTGGAGACTGGCCTGTGCCTTGTCTCAAGGCCTGAGATCATGCAGGAAGAGACAGCTGGCTCACACCCTCATCCATCTGGCTTCTGTGGAAGTGCTTTTGAGAAAGGAGAGAGACTCCTCTCAGACCTTCCAGAGCATTCCTTAGCACTTCCAAAGGATTTTAAGGGAGCTTTAGTGGATAAGGCATTTGGCTGCTAACCAGGTCAGTGGTTCAAACCTTCCAGCTGCTCCACAGAAGAAAGATGGAGCCATCTACTTCCCTAAAGATTTTTAGCTTTGGAAACCCAGTGGGGGTTGCCGTGAGTCGGAATTGACTCGATGGTAGTGAGTTTGGTTTTTTTGGTCCAAAGGATTTTACTGACTAAATTGGAGAAGGCTCAAACCAGCCAAGAATTCTTTGAGAGCCGAGTGGTTATTTGCCTTTTTTTTTTTTTTTTTAAAAATATATAACCTTTTCCCTGCCCTAATGTTGCTACCGTTTTAGGCAGTTAAAATTATACTGTCTGCCATGCTGTGATGTCTGATACTTTGCTTGGAATAAATAAAGTGTTTTGCCTACTCCAGCCCAGCCTCATCTGGATGGTCTGTTAGGGTTCACTCCAAAGAATACTAGAAATCACTCGGGCGTTTCTAGCAAGACCCTTATCCACAGATTGCATTGCTTTCTACACCCCGTTCGATTCTCAGCCAGTACACCTCATGACGGTTTGTCACTTTGCTCCAAAATAACCTCCACAGGAGTGCGTTTGTGGGTTTTTGTTTTGTTGTTTTTAGTTGACACTTGTTCAGGTCCGGTGGGAACAGTGGCCTTTCCCAGCTGCCTTGCCTGCCCTGAGAAGATTCTAGAATGGAATAAAGGCAAGGTTGGGGTGGATACCCGGGCCATCAGTGCCTGTGCACAGAGCCTGTGGCAATGTGGAAGGGCTTGGAGAGTCCGTGGGCTCTGCCTGACATCCCAGCAGCAGAGGTGGAAAACAAGGAGGCCAGGGGAACATTCCCTGGGTCTGGTCTACATTATTACTCCTTTCTATATGTCTCCAGACAGTTTGTGTTTGGCTGTTTGTACACATTAAACAAAGGCCCCAATGTGTTTGGTTTGTCTCTTTTATCTCCATTATTGAGAAAGTGTCTGTAGTGAGTTGAATAGTGTCCCCCAAAATTCATGTCTACCTGGAACCTCAGAATGTGACTTTTCTTGGAAATAGGATTAGTTAAGGATCTCAAGGTGAAATCATCTTGGATTTAGAGTAGGACAGGGAGACTTGGACAGAGAGACAGAGAGGACGCCATGTGACAACAGGCAGAAATTAGAGTGATGTAGCTACAAGTGAAGAAGCACCAAGGATTGTTGGAGCCACTGGATGCTAGGAAGAGGAAAGAAATAATCAATTCTCCCTTAGAGCCTTCAGAGGGAGCGCAGCCCTGCCAACATCTTAATTCCATACCTCTGGCCTCCAGAACTGTAAGAGAATAAACTCCTATTGTTTTAAGCCACCCAGTTTGTGGCCCTTTGTTATGACAGCTCTATGAGCTAATAAACAAAAACAAACCAAACCAGCTGCCATTGAGTCGACTCCAACTCATGGCAACCCCACATTATGTGTCTCAGAGTAGAACTGTGCCCCATAGGCTTTTCAGGGGGTGATTTTTCTGAAGTGGATCACCAGGTCTTTCTTCCAAGGCACCTTTGGGTAGACAAACTGCTAGTGTTCAAACTGCAGCATTTGGTTGATGATACAGGAATTCTTGATGTTTTCAAAGCCCTACAAGATGTTTCGCTTCTAAGCTGCCCTCCCTGGCAAACTCCTCCCAATCTCGGTCTTTGGAGAAGCTCTGTCCTTTGCTCCAGTTAGACTCATGGGCTCCTAGCATACTCTGCTCTTACCCTCCAACAAGATGTCCTCTCCTACGTCTATCTGCTGGGAGGCCTGCTCCCCTCCGCTAGGCTGCAGGGAGGTGGAATCAATGGGCACAAGTTGTGTACATCTGGAATAACAAGGCATGGCAAGAACCAGTCACACCTGGGTTCACACCAGCATTTCCTAAAGGCACGTACCACCATTGCTCACCAAATGAGCTAGACGTGAATGGACCAGTCTGTCAAACTCTCCTTTTCATGGAGTTAAAGTTTAAGGAAGGAAAATATTTTTAAGGAATAATAGTATTTTTTAAATACTATTTTTAAATAGTAAAACTTAACTATTTTTTTAAAATTTATTGTCTGATCATTTCTCACATAATTGCCCTTATCTTTTTAAGTGTCTACATACCATACTTTAACATAATAACCTTACAACAAAGAAAAATAATAAGAAAGACAGTTCAGGAAGGAGAAATGAAGGTGATTGGCTGAAACAGAGGGAGGGGCGAATGGAAGGTAACTGCTTAGTGGATATGGAGTTTTCTTTTGAGGCGATGAAAATGTTTTTAAACTGAAGGTCCCTGGGTTTGTTTGGTAACCAAGCAAAAGGTTGGCAGTTTGAACCAACCCAGCTGTACTGTAGAAGAAATAGGCCTGGTTATCTGCTTTCTAAAGATTATAGCCAAGAAAACCCTGTGAAAATCATGTATATGAGGCCAATAGGTCAACAATTACTTTAAAACAAAGATAAGAAAGATAAGGGCATAGGGAAACTAGATTAATGGAAATGGAACAAACAGAACAGAAATATTGAGGATGTTCACACATTGTGAAGAATGTAACCCATGTCACTGAACAATTTGTGTAGAAATTGTTGAATGGGAACCTAAACTACTGTGTAAACCTTCACCAAAAACACAGTAAAACACTGTTAGAAAAAGAAAACCCTAAGGAGCAGTTCCATTCTGTAACACGTGGGGTCTCCTTAATCACGAGTCAGCAACAAAAACAAAATCAGTAGCAGAATGTTTTGGAATTAGACAGAGGTGTGGGTTCCACTGCCTTGTGAGGGTACTAAATGCCACTGAGTGGTTCACTTAAAAAAGATTAACTTTATGTGATGTGAATTTCGTCTTGTAAAAACATAATAATAATGTCCATAACAAATAGGGAAGGCACAAATCATGTCAGCGGCATACAAATGGCCATAGTTTAAAAAACACTGCTCCTACATAGCAAGTATCAGGCAAATGAGGGAAAGAGTGTGCTAAGTGGAGATTCAACAATAAAGGTTCAGATGTTTTCAGACTCGTGCTGGGAATTGTTCCGGAGAACAGAATGTGTAAGTCTCCTTAAGTAGAAGAAGTCTAAGGCGAGAGGTCAGATCTACGCCTCAGTAAGTGTTCCTTTCAAGGATTTCACCCCAGTCATTTCTCGGTACCAGCTTTTGTGGACTCAGTATGTGCCTCTTCTAAAGAGCTGTCCTTGTGGACTCACTGTGTGTGTTTTGTCTTCCAGTGGGCCCAAGCGTTATGATTGGACCGGGAAGAACTGGGTGTACTCCCATGACGGCGTATCGCTCCACCAACTGCTGACCACAGAGCTTTCTAAAGTGTTAAAGACCAAATTAGACTTGTCTGCCTTGGCTTATTCTGGAAAAGGCACTTGACGCCCAGCCCAGTTTTAAAGACATTAAAAGCTGTAAATCCAACACCACAGCTTTGTTCTGCAGCCGAGTGTCTGTTCTTTTCCATCCTTGCCTTTGAGGACAGTTGCACTGTGTGTAACAGCTCTGTGAAAAGAATGCGTTGCCTCCCACTCCACCCCCAAGTGCTGATTTTTTATTTCTATGTTTTTTTTTTTTTTTTATTGTCTGATTTCTGCCCTCATATGATCTCCCTTGTCTTTTTAAGTGTCTACATATCATACTTTAACATAATAAACTCCCTACAAAGAAAAATAATAAGAAGCACAATTCTGGAAGGAGATATGAATTGGCTTCACTCTAGTCTTTAAAGAACTTAACTGCAGAAATGACATGAAGAGCTACTGGCCAACCTTACCATTCTTTCTCCAGATGAGACTTACTTACTAAAAGGTAGCCTATAAACGTTCCCACGCATGTTTGAAATGGTAAATGCTTCTAAGGTGTTTGAAGTGTCAAAGGCAACTTGGGAATTCGCAAACTAAAGACCATCTTTTATTCATGCTTTGTGACTCTGAAGGGGTGTGCCCTGCACAAGGTAACTCGGAGACTTGGTGAGGGTTCTTCTATATATACATATGTGTACACACACAGATATACATATATATGTGTGTATACTTTCTATTTTTAAGATTTAGTGTAGAGTCTGCTGCTGAAAAGTACTGGGATATGAGAACACAAAAGAATAACAAATCCCAAGCCTCTCTCCCAAAGACAAGGGGGAAAAAAAAAAGCCATTGCCAGAAGCTGAGGGATAGGGTGTAATAGAGGAGGTCAGCTCTGGAGCTGAGAAGAAGCTTTGTAAGTTGTAAGGGGCCACATAATGAAAGAGATGTTTATAGCGGTGAAAAGAACACTGGTCCTAGATTTGGCTCGGCCCAAAGCAGTTATCTATCTGTGGATAAATTTCACAACCTCCTTGGACCTCCATTTTCCCATCTGTTAAGTGGAATGGCTGAAATGGATAGAATAGTTAGCTTCTTCTGATTCACACATCATTGGTCCTACCAGGAAGCCTCCCAGGCTAGCTTTCATTCCCTCTGGGTAGATGAGGGGATGGCAATGAAAATTTTTTAAAGCTGTACAGTAAATCTATTGTCATTGATAATGCTCTGTTGGGATTTCATTTGAATTCATGTTAAAATAACCATCATTTATTGTGGCCCTACTATGTTAAGCCTGTTATACCACATGTTGTTGTTGTGTTGTTGTTTGCCGTCGAGTCGGACCCGACTCATAGCGACCCCTCCTTGGGTTTCCGAGGCAGTATCACTACGCAAGTAGATTGCCCCATCTTCCTTCCGAGGAGTGGCTGGTGGATTTGAACTGCCAGCCTTCTGGTTAGCAGTCAAGTGCATAACCTTGTTTTAATCTTTATTGACTTGCATTTGGCACTTGAAGAAACCAAGGCTCAGGAACATTAACATAACTCACAGGAAGTTATACTCACCTTCTGTTGTTTTCTTTCCAAAGAAAGATTTATTAGTGACAGGTCTATGTGAATGTGTACCCAAGGCTTTTGCAGTGGGTGAGCCAAAGCACATTCCATTATAGAAGAAAAAAATCTTAACCATGTTATGAGATAAGCAAATGCTACATGGGTATTTAAAATATCTCCTTCAGAAATAAAATCATTTTTTGAGGCTGGTGGAAATTTTTAAGTGTGGTAGGTCAGTGCCCATGAGAAGATAAAATAGAACTAAATTGTACATGTGTGTTTATGGCTTGTTTCTAATGAAAGTTGTATCACACCTCACTTACTGGGAACTCGGTTAGATGGCCCACTCACCTGCGGGACACCGCATAAGTCTAAGAAATGTGCACCAAACTGTAATAACATGAAAACAGAAGCTATAGAACCTGGGGTCTTCCAGTTTCCTTATGGGCCAGCTGTTGGGACCTGTTTACTTGTATTTTACATACAAGCCTAACTAGATTTATTATTTCCTTTCCAAGGCCCTGGGAGACAAGTAGCATTTAACAAAGAAAAGAACTGCCAACACATCAACAGCAGCCAGAAGGGTGAAATAAAACCATTCTCTGATAAGCCAACTGGGAAACATGATGTGGAGCCAATAGCCTCCACACCTCAGACCCTGGGAGAGTAACCACCCATGCTAAGGATGAATTTCCGGGAAGAGGTTGTAAGATCTTCAATATAACATGTTGAAGGAGGCAAGGAATGTGTAATAGAGTTTTAGAAAACTTTTTCTATGGTTAGCTTCTTGGCTGGGTAAACCCTTAGCCACATGGAAAATTAAACTATTCAGAGTGACAGATTCACCTCTCTCTGAAGTTACAGGGGAGGAGTTCATAGTAGTTATGAACTCGGCTGCTAATTGAAAGGTCAGTGGTTTGAATCCACCAGGCACTCTAAGGGAGGCAGATGTGCCAGTCAGCTTCCTTAAAGGTTACAGCCTTGGAAACCCAACAGGCAGTTCTACTCTGCCCTATAGGGTCACTGAGTTGGAATGACTTGACAGCAATGGGTTTGGACCTTCCAGAGGAGTGTTGGGTGGTGCAAATGGTTAATGTACTTGGCAACTAACCAAAAGGTTGGAGGCGTGAGTCTACTCAGAGGTACCTCAGAAGAAAGGCCTGGCAATCTAGTTCTGAAAAATCAGCCGTTGAAAACTGTATGGAACACAGTTCCGCTCTGACACACATATGTTGTCATGAGTTGGAATCAACAGCAACTAGTTAGTTTTGCTTTGTTTTTAAATTACAAACAAGCAGTGGAGTGTGTGAAAAAGTATCTAGGGTTTTGAATCATGTTTCTAAGTTTGATCTAAACTCTGCCACTAACTTGCTGACACTAGCCTCGCATCTTATCTGTAAATGGAGATTGCTAATGTGTTCAGTCTGGGTCCCCACGTGCAGCACAATCCTGCCATGAGGCACTGAATATAGGATGACTACTCTTACATCACATGCAGAGTAATCTAATATTCAACTTCAGTTTTGTCCCCCGAAATTTTTTAGGAATCTGACATTCTCTATTTAACCTCAGATGTAGTCAAAATGGTCATTTTGTTTACTTTGGCTATGAATTCTGATTTTATTTTTTTTATTTTACTGTGCTTTAGGTGAAAGTTTGCACAGCAAATTGGCTTTTAATTCAGTAATTCGTACACTGTTCCCTGATATTAGTTGGAATCTCTGCAATGTGTCGGCACTCCCCCTTGCCATCCTGGCATTCCTGCTTCCATACCTCAGGTTTCCCTGCCCTGTCTTCTCATCATTGTTTTTAGGCAAATGTTGCTCTTTTGGTCTTGTATAGGTAATTGTTCTTAGGAGTACATTCCTGACAGATGTCTGTTGTTCACCTGAAAAGTGATTCCAGGGGTGGGTTCAGTTCCAGGTTTGAAGAGTGACTTAGGGCAATAGTTTTGGGAGTTCTCTATCAGACCAGTTCAGTCTGGTCTTTTTTTTATGAATTTAAATTTTGTTCTACATTCTTCTCCCATTCTAACTGGGACCTTCTGTTGTGTCTCTGGTCAGAACAGTCAGCAGCCAGGCACCATCTAGTTCTGGTCTCAGGCTAGAGGAAGTTGTGGCTCATGAGGCCATTAGTCCTGTGGACTAATTACTTCCTTGGATTTTTGGTTTTCTTCACTCTCCTTTGCTCTCAGTGGGAAGAGACCAATGAGTGTATCTTAAATGGCTGCTCACAAGCTTTTAAGACCCTAGTCTGGCAGACAATGGTCCTATAAGTTTATGTGAATGATCAGAATTCCCAGGTGTATAGTAGAGCTGACAAGGGGCAAGGTTATGGTCATTGCTTGGTCACAGCCAGCTACCCAGAGGGACCGAGTAGTTGATCCTGCAGGCTTGGGACCATAGTCACAGGGGACATCAAGCTCAATTGGCATAACATACTATACAAAACATTGTTCCACCTACTACTTTGGTGAGTAGCGACTGGGATCTTAAAAGCTAGCAAGCTGCCATCTAGATGCAACGATGGGTCTCTCCTCGTCAAGAAGAAGAAAACCAAAATTAATGGAAACAATCAGTCCTAGCGACTGGTACACCATCTGATCTGCAACCTATACAACTATGAGACCAGAAGAACTAGATGGTGCCCGGCTACCACTGTCATCCACTTGGAGGGGATGTAGGAGATCCTGCATAGAGAGGGAGAACAATGTGGAACAAAACTCAAAATCATTTGGAGGCAAAAAAAAAAAAAAAAAAGAAGAAGAAGGTGGGGACCAGGTTTGCTGGTCCAATAGAGCCTGGTGTAACCACTGAGACTATGGCCCCTAGCTGCCCTTCAGGTCTGGAATTGAACCCACACCTGTGGTTTCCAGCCAAACAAGGTACAGGCATGTGAGTTAAACATTTACCTCAAGTAGACACACACCCTGGAGAGAACAATCATGGGAGAAGGAAGGGCTGCTTATGCACAGGGAGACAGCTCAGGGCGCAGAAGAGTATGGAGGGAGGGACGCTGGGAAGAGGTAACTATGGGGAGGAAGTGGGAGGGGAGCTGTTGCATTGTAAATTTTGGTCAATGACATGAGACAAAGGATATGTGAACTGCTGTATGAAAAGTGAATTTACTCTGTAAATCTTCACCCAAATCAAAATAAAATTTAAAAAAATAAAAAATAAAAATAAAAAAAGACCCTAGTCTGTACTCAGCAAAGTAGAATGTAGAACATTGTATTTATGAGCTATGTTATGGCAATTGACCTAGATGTCCCCGAGATGGTGGTCCTTAGCCTTCATTTAGCATGTTTTCTAGGCTCTTTCATGTTGTAGCATGTATCAGTACTTCATTCCTTTTTATGGCTAAATAATATCGTATAGATGTACCACATTGTTTATCCATCACTTAATAGGTACCTGGGTAGTTTCTATTAGCTACAATGCTTATTTTTATTCTGTCTTCTACATATCAAGGAGCCCTGGTGGTGCAGTGGTTAAGCACTCAGCTGATAACAGAAAGGTCAGTGGTT